GGGTCACCTTGCCTTAGCCCCCTTTGAGGGCTAAACTCTTCGGTAGGAGAACCATTGACGAGTACTGAGACTCTTGCAGTTGTAACACACTCCTTCATCCAATTAATCCATTTAGTTCCAAACCCAAACTTGGAGAACATATCAAACAAAAAACCCCAATTAATAGAGTCATATGCTTTCTCAAAATCCAGCTTAATGAGCACACCCTTCTTCTTGGCCTTCTTCCAACCCTCTACAACCTCATTAGCAACAAGTACTCCATCTAGAATATTCCTCCCGCTTAAAAATGCAGACTGGGGTTCACTAATAATATGTGGCATTATGGTTTTCAATCTGGTAGGCTCCATGTGCAACATGATACAACTTGATTGCATAAAGACTTAGAAAAACTCAAGGATGAAGATAAGAAAATACCAAATGAAGAAACCTAAATTTGGCATGTAGGTTTGATAAGAAAGGGTAAGAGAATCACACCCTAGTGCACTGCTTTTAATGACATCGCCCTTCATCACGTTCCAAAACTTTTGATAACATAGCAAATTAAACCCATCCGGACCTGGTGCTTTATTCCCATCACAATCCATCACTGTAGATTTAATTTCTGATTCTGTAAATTCTGCTTCTAGCAGTCCGAAACACACCCTGCCTTCAACTGATGGAAACTGACCCCCCAACACAGGTCCAGCACTTTACTCTTCACTTGGCTTGGATCATCAAACACCACCTCCCCTTCTGAAATAGAGTTTATCTCATTTCTTATTGTTCTACACTTTGTAACGACATGAAAAAATCTTGTATTTTTATCCCCTTTCATGGCCCAGTTAAGCCTAGACTTTTGCAACCATAGCCACTCCACCATCCTACTCAACCTCCACATTTCAGCCCTAGCCTTACTTCTCCTCATTTTTTCCTCCCCATCAAGGTTTCTAACCTCAGCCAGCAGATCTAAACTATGAAGCTCACCCTCTACTAACTTCAATTTATTTATAACATTACCAAACACCTCCACATTCCAACTTTTTTCTCTTCATTTTTTCCTACCCATCAAGGTTTCTAACCTCAGCCAGCAGATCAAAACTATGAAGCTCACCCTCTACTAACTTCAATTTATTTATAACATTACCAAACACCTCCACATTCCAACTTTTAAGACCATTTTTCAAGAACTTAAGCTTCTATGCCAGAATAAAACCAGCCCAGCCCACAACACTGGCCTCTCCCCATTTAGACTCCCAGAATCTTCTAAGATTTTTATGCAAAAACCAAGCATTTAGAACCCTAAAAGGCTTTGGGCCCCAATCCCTCTCATCCTCCATCATAAGGAGAGGGCAGTGATCCGAAACAAACGAGGCAAACCCCATAACTTTAACTTGAACTCCTCAAGCCATTTTGGATCCACTAACACTCTATCTATTTTGCTCCACTTCTCCCCAGCAAATGAATTACACCAAGTAAATCTCCTTCCAAGTAAAGGTAATTCAGAAACCTCACACTTATCAATGAACTCATTAAATTCATTCATACCTCTATCCCTTCTTGAGTACCCTCTCCTTTCCCCAATCTGTCTAATCTCGTTGAAATCTCCTCCTAAACACCAAGGATCAGGATACTCCTCCTTCAGTTTCAATAAAC